AGAGAGGGGGAGAGAGAGACAGAGACAGAGAAAGATATTTATTTTGCTGCGCCTGACCTCCCTGTTTTGAGAAGACGAGCCTCAACATCTGGGCCTAAGGGCCTTTTTGCAGTTCACATGCCCTCACTTTTTTTTGGGGTCCGCTTCCACCCGAGGACCAATCCAATGCCTCTTCCTTTTTTTTGGGTTCCGCTTCCAGTCGAGGACCGGTCCTTCCTTTTTCCAAAAGTCCTGGTGTCGAGCGCATCGGTCCGGCACCGCACAGGGCAACGCGGGACCCTCTCGACCGCATCACGCAGGAGTTGGTCTTAATCCTCGTCGCATATATATATGGAGCTTCGGCAAGCCGCTTCGGCCGAGTGCGCCAGCCATACCTCTCACGAGCCCCTACGACAGGATAGGGCATACGCGAGGCACGACTTACCACCTTGCGGGAGATCTCACCTCCCTTCGGTGGGCGTGCGCATCGGTCCAGCACCGCACAGGGCAGCGCGGGACCCTCCCGGCCGCGTTACGCAGGAGTTGGTCTTAATCCTCGTCGTATATATGTATGGAGTTTCCGCAAGCTGTTCCGGCCGAGTGCGTCAGCCATACCTCTCACGAGCCCCTACGACAGGATAGGGCATACGCAAGGCACGACTTACCTCCACCTTGCGGGAGCTGTCACCTTCCTTCGGTGTGCGTATCCCCGCCGAGCTACCAATCCACAATACGAAAGCTAATGAGATGCAACCGCAGAGGTGGACCAGTCGAGGGCGTTTCTCGTACGCTGTAACATAGGAGGTACGCGCGGTATTACGCCTCTATCGGACCAGCACGCAAACCGGCATATTAGGGGGTTGAGGTCCCAAGCGCGACTCGTCGCTGGTCGACTAGGACGCATTCCACACTCCATGTGCACACCACTCTAAAGGACATAAAAATAAAAACACGCACGCGCACGTGTACATATACAAAACGACACCAAACGAACAACGCGACAACACTCCTAGTCCCGTAGTAACCATCTCATAACTATCCGATGCGGAAATCAGATAGATGTCACGAGCGAGACTTAGTATAAAACCGCGTGGACACAGGGCTAACTCATATCGACTAGCAATGCATGAATACGCAAGCAGTCGCAATGATGACGTACTATGTAGTGCCCATAATCAAGCGGTCCCTCATAGATCCGAGTACCATTTATGACACTCAAGTGTCAGACTCGAAGTATCGTGAGGGTCTACCCCTTCACGATATTGCGGGGCTGAAGGAATAGCCGTGCGGCCGCCGCGATACCTTCTGCCTTTAGGCTGAGTGTCCCGGCAGACAGGGCAAATAGACTCTGCCCGAGGGGTAATCCCTTTCATGCAGAGTCTAGGGTCTGGGATGTCCTGGACAAGGACCTTAAATTCCGGCCCAGGACCAACGTCCGACTAAGAAATCTTTAAGAAGTATTCAACAATAAAGTGGGGTTTTCTTTCTTTTTTCAATCTCAACCCCTATTTTAACCCTTAAGTGTGGGCCCCTTAGACCACGCGAACACTCAACATAGATACATATATATATATATATATATATATATATATGTAGAGTTTTCCATCTGGTGTGGGTGAGTGATAGTCTACTTTGATTTTGGTTAAGGTGGATTATCACTTACAGTGTAATCAGTGAGGGGATTCTACAGACTGTTGAGGGTTCAGCC